ATGATTATTGATATTTTGTCATATGAAATATTGTGCTCAATACCGCAGGACAGTGAATTTTTAGACAGGCTTCTGGGATTTGATATTCATGAGCTAAGAGCGTTTTTAGCTATCCAAATTTATTCATTATAGCTTTAGTAACATTTAGGCGCCCAGTGAAATTATCTAAACAATTCTGAAGTCTAGCAAAGTTTACCTGAACATTGGCGTAAACTGATGTGTGATGAATGAATTCGTCTCGGAATGTAGATACTTGTGGTCTTATTTCTGTTTGTCAGAACAGAACATTCTTAAGATTGACTGAATATACTTTAAAAAAATACATAATCAATTACACTTCCGAAATTTCACTAATACTTAATCAAAAATGTAATTTTAGAAGAACATTATGAAGTGAATTATTCTCGAATATTAGCATAGATTACCTTTGTTGTATGAAATATGATCATTTTTATCATTCTTCACCATTTAAAACAAAAAGTTATTGCTAGGAGAAATGATTTTGAGATAATAGAAAAAATCCAATCGAAACCACTTAACATCACAGATTTTTTTAAACATTCTTGAGAATACAAAGTTTGAGACCTCTAATTATAGCCCAGAAAGTTCAGGACAGCCTGTAAGTATAATGTAATGGTTTAGGCAGTGATATCAATAAGGAACTCATTTAGATGGATATAAATCATCTGTTTCCTGGGAAATAACATCCATTGCAAGCATTGCTAGAAAAGGCAATCTGAAGTACAATATTCATCGACTGTCGTCTACATGATCAATAAACAGTATATTACAAAATTAATGCTGGATATCCGAAAAGGATATTCCTCGAACAGAAAAATAATACAAATAATGAGATAAAGAATTTTGATAATGAGCTGTAACTAGATTATGCTACCAAACGAATTGAGATTAAATTAAGCAAACTTAGTTATCGTCTCATTCAACGAATAGATGAAGCTTTAGAGAATATTGAGATCATGAACCGACCAATGTTAAACCACTGTTGAAAATCTGGAAGCACTGGACGACCGTTTTGTTCTAGTATACGAAGATGGTCACGCAGTATCATGGATTTTTTAAGTTAGATATTTTTACCGTCGGATCTCAACTCAGTGATCTAGAGGTTTAACATTCACGCGAGACCGGAGAACCAGTTTTGAGTCCCACTTACCGGATCGTGGGTGCCTGATGCTGACGAATCCTATGCTAGTACGAAAGAGCCGTCTCAATCAAATGTCATTAATGACGCATTTAATAACAGACACTCTTCTGTCATACACTTTGTTTACAAATAGTAAAACGTACATTTACATAATTATCAGAACACTGTCATCTCAAGTTGTTAAGTCAAAACCTACGGAGTTTGTACATAAGTATTGTAAAAAGCATGAGTAGTTATTAATAAAATTATATAGTTATCAAGGGCTTAATTAGTGGGAATGCGAGTAGCATGCGAAATCAATTTCTTCAGTCGTCTCTGATATTTATGCACATTTTAAGAAGTGATCAGTACAGTTATATCTGTTGGTTAAAGATGTTTAACTTGAAGATTTTGAAAATAATTCTTCATAGAGCAAGCTGTTGTTGAATTAATCTCAGGTATTATTAAATCTAATGTATGCACAATTGTCTGTTGATTGATGTAAATAATATGGAAATTAGTCTATTCAGGCATCGTTACAGTTCATTTCTGATGTCACATGAATCTTTATCTGTCGTCTTCGTATTTTACTTGCTTCGTCAGATTTACCATTCCCAGCAGCAAGAAATAAGTTATATTCCGGCAGTTACAAAACTCGATAAACGGCCTATCTGTACGCTGATACGCTTCGAAGTAAATAAGTTTCTATAGCCTGAATAGTCTGTTTAAAAGTAAAAAATATGCAAATATACAGTGACGCCTGATATGTGGTTCACCAAAGATTTAGTTGACAAGTTATTATCTCGACAACTTACCAATCTCATAGTGACCTCCAATAATCCTCACTGTTTACATCTACACATTTCAACAAACATTGAAATGTTCTCAACTCATTTCACTCACACATTCCAACTTTTTCAACAAACAATTAGAGTATACACCATTGATTAACAAATCACATTGGAAAACACAACCTTTGAATTCTGCATGAATTCATTTGATTCTCGTCCACTTGTCAGGTGGGGATTAGTCGACAACCGATCAGGTTGACTGAGTTTGACATAATTTGATGAATGAAGATAATTGTGACCATTTGACACAAATAGTAGTTGAGTGTTTGAAATATTTGATTGTGTTCTGTTATTGTTTGATGTATGTTAGTGAATATGATTGAGACTGTGTTTTTGTTGTGTGAACAACTGACTTATTTGCGATTGCTTCAGTACACTATTAATTTATCAGTTATACATTTTACTGTATTTAGATTTAGTTCAATAGAACGATAGAATTGTTTCTACGATTAATTCAATGTATCCTTTTGTCGATTCAAAACCAAAGTTATTCTACATCATTTTGTATCTTACGAATACTAAACATAAATTTGTGACGTATTTTTCATTGTGGAAATTAATTTTATTTAGATTAGTTAGTTTTATTATGATTGTAACTTGTATTCAATTCTATGAGCAATAAACTTTTGTATTCAATTCATTGTCACCACAAGTTTTCAAAGCTCATGGTTATATGGTACTTGGATGGGACTACTTTTTTCAATCTGGTAATTGTAAGAGAAATTTTGAGTTTTAAAGTCGGTTTTTCAAACTATGATTGTAAACCAAATCATGCTTGTTCACAGTTTTTATTACCACTAGTCCAAACTTCCACATGAATAAATGTTCATCATCGGAAGCTTAGTTTTTTCAAGGTAGTACTAACTGAGATTCTTAAAGAAATGAAATAAAACAGAAGACGATTCCGTAGTTTCTAAATATATATGCTAGATAATATTTTCATCTGTGGCGACATTTATTAAAAATAGTCAATATTAGGACTAAGGAAAAAAGCAAATTAATATGTAATAAAACATCTTATTGATTGACATAGTCAAAGACTTAAACTATCACGTGAATAGTAAATAAATGCTTTCCATATCATTAATACTATTTATTCCATATATTTTAAGTACCTACTTTAGGATGAGGATACAATGTTTTAAGCGATGGTCACTCAACACTACGGTTCCGAGATAAAATTTCACTTCATTAACTTCTATTTAGACATCAAAATAGTACCGTCACCTCTAATATAAACGATATAATTCGAAATTGAATACATAAATATTTAATATACATTGTATATAATTTATTAAAAATTCAATTTTGAAGCTGAAGAAAACTACCTATCGGTTTAGGATAAACATACTTCCATGTATTTACTTTACGTTATAAGATTTTCAGTTGTATGTCTATTTCTGGTTTGTCACTGATATATTACAACATCCCAGTTCATAAAACAATGGGAATCTATGTATTGCCAGAAGGTAACCGAAATTATCTATCTAGTGCTTCCAGGTTTCCCATGGTGATCTAGCTCCGATTGACTCATGATCTCAACTATTAGAATCACTATAACATCCTCAAAACACCTTCTGATATCCTCCTACTGTTCGCCTAATTGTCCTTCTCTAAACGGCTCCATACATTGACAGAATGATCAGTAAAAGTGTTTGATAGGATATCACTTTATGATAAAGACATGTAGGGAGACTGTAAGCATGTTGATATGGTGAACGAAAATTTAATTCGTTAGAGTATTTGTCAGTGATCTACGAAAATAATTCTTTCCCCAGTTGTCTATTACATTTAGTCACATTTTAAGGAGTAATTAGATTAATCGTATCCTTTGATTAGAAAGAGTCAGCTTTATGAAATTGTAAATCTATATTATTCCAGTAAATTATCGATTAATTTATGCCAATTATTACTCAATTTAATTCATGCAAATTTGCCTGTCCTTCAGTGCAAACAAAACTTGGGTGTAAAACAAATCTTGATCTACAGTCTTCTTAAGTTTTTCCTTGTGTTGTGCGATTCACTATTTCCAGTAGCCAGAATCAGTTACCTCAAATTATTTTAGACAGTCAATAAAAATATTCATCTGAACCAGTTTTGTCTTATTATTTGCATGCTGCAAATCATAGAGGCCGGTGTTCAAAGTATACAAATGTAGGCTACTCGTTTTGATCATAAGTATTTTCGAAGTATTTCTCGCCTGTCGTAAAACTATCGAGTAATCACTGTTGAAGTTAGATATAGGGTACTAAAGAAAGATGGCGTATTGGTTGATGAGACTGTAAATCTTCACTAACTAAAGCGGTTGGGATAAGTGTTATGTATGATCAACAGCTGCCTACCCAGGGCGGCCCAGAATTAATTTGGAAGCTAGTGGAAGGCAAATAAATACTCGGCATCAGACCATGAAGTCACTCACTGTTGTTCTGGACATGTTAGTATGTGTAGATTACCTCATTAAGCCAATTACGATAACCTCGATCAGTGACTGGAGACGTTAGGTGATATAACTCAGAATCGTTCACAATGAACCAGGCACATTTCCCCTTCATCTTCCTTTCAACATTTGATTTCAACATTCTTTCATATATACCTTTCAATTGTCCTTTTGAACTATATTCTCAATGTTTAATCTTTCTCATCGTCACTTTTACTGCATTGTATAGAAATCTTTTGCAATTCAACTTGTTGATTTTATTACATCGTGCTAACACGGTATGGCAAATTGGGCCAACGCATATTTGTTTTAGACTCTACATTGATGATAAGTAAGTGAGTGATAATGGCTTACAATGCTGGATTGACTAATGCAGTAAATTTATTAAGCATCCCCAGTTGAATAACAAACAAGAGAACCAAACAACTGAGTACGCGATCATAATTTTGTTCTTCTCTTACCATATGTACAAACGTATGAGATAGAATGAACATGCCTGAAAATTAAATACACTATGACCAGTTGGCATGCAATGAAATATCTGAAGATTAATGAAAATCAAATGAATTTCAAATTATCAATTGATATTTTGCACATTATGACAGAGTATTGAAGTTGGTTCCCAATAATTACATTTGATAAATGATGTATTTATGATAAATTAATGTGAGCTCTAACATAGATTTTCTTTTCAGAAAGACTGTAAATCATTTGTGATTTTATTTACATAATAACCTATGACTAGAAGTTTATGCGTTAAATCATCTTTGAGAAATGTTAAATGAAGCTAGAAACAATTCAACCTACCAATTATATATTACTCTACTTATTTCAAATGAATATTTAAGAATAAATTTTGCAGTAAATCAAGTATTTTGAATAATATTGAAAGTTAATTAAATCCAGGTAACTAATAAAAAGCCATTGAGCTGAGCGATTTCTCAATGAATGTGTTCATATATCTGACAAAATGTGAGGTATATGTCACCATTTCTTAAATATAAATGCATACACAAATATTCAAATAAACTTGATTAAATTCGTGATAAAGAATATTATGATGAAAATCTTGTAGTCTCCAAGGGAAATTCATAAAAAGTATCCTATACAAAGAAAACTTGCTCCATTAGGTCATCTTTTGTACATAGGAGAGAAAGGTAGGATTAAGGAAGCTTAGTTTTGTAATTATAAGAAAGGCATTATTGAAATCTCAATGTTTTTTTTCAAATTTGTGATCATCGAACCACTAATTCCGACTGACGAATATGGATGATTGTCGGCCTTGATCTTTTGTTGAATTGGCATTGAATACCTTGAAACAATAATTGCCTGGATCTACAACAAGAAGTTTATTGGATACTTGATGCAGCGCCAAACCTTGAGGACCGCTTAATGTCTCCAGTTTACTGTCAATCATACGTAAATAGTTTCCAGTTTGATCAAATACCTGAAAGCATATATTACTTTAATTATTAATACAAAATAATAATTTTTGTAAATAATACGTTTGCTACTATGTGTGTAGAATTTACTCACTATTTTGGAGTATCGTACAATTTCGCATAATAGGAACTTTATAGTATTTTTATCAACCTCCTAAAAATGTATTTACCTTAATTTTGAAGCTAGACCACCATGGAAAATCTGGAAGCACTGGACGGCCGTTTCATCCTACTGTGGAATTCTTCAGTAGTGCGCATCAAAGATACCACCTCATAAGATTCGAACCCAAGGCCTATCAGTCTCGTATGCGAGCGCTTGATCACTAGACCATTGAGCCGATATCCAATGGTGTTAATGTCTAACTTCAACTAATCCATGAAATTAAGCGACACATTCAACATTGTATCCAGTGATTTAGTATCTCACAACTGACCCGGTTGAACTCCATTGGTCACTGCTTCTCACTAGAACTCCAGGAAATACGTATTGGAGACCGTCACTAGTGAGTATATTGTGAATAGTATCAGAAGTGATTTTGTGGATATTATAGTAATTTTAATAGTTGAGATCGTGAGTCAATTGAATAACGTATAACATGCTGGTTGCTTTTAATGTCATCTAAGAACTATCGCTATCGCATAAATATGCTTATCAACTGTGGCAAGATATTATTAGTAATTTTGATTTAAAATACATAAACTACAATAAATGTATATAAATTAGTTAAAATTAGTGAAGTAAATCATAATCTATCTTTTTATCTATATCGAATACCATCCCCTTATGCAAGTCTAATCTCAAGTTAAAATTTTATCGCATACAGGAAAATTCTAATATCGAGTTTAATGTTTCACATTCGGATCATCTTATAGAATAATATCTAGGTTCATTATTTTACTGTAATATATGGCTAAATATTTAAAATCTGGACACCTAGTTTCACTTGTCTACAATTAAATATTCATTCAATCTGGAAGTAATTACTATCTTTACATTAGACTGTTTTAATCGATTATTTTGCTACAAAAGGTATTCATATTTAAAAAACCTTTAAGAACAAATTAAATGTGATATTATGATCACATTTTTCACTTGTCTGAAGTAAAATTTATTGTGACACTTTCAAAATCAGCATATAATCACCGATTTGTGTCGCCAATGTATAAAAACCAACGGTGAATACATTAAAGTATTTTATGGAGGAAGACTTCTTATTATTTGCTTCCTTTATTCATATTTTGTATATAGCAACTGATACTATCCAGATGTCAAATGATTAACAATTAGGTATCTAGGAGACCATTTTTCAACCTTCTTTTCTAAGAGAAAACGTAATAGCAGTTGATTACATACACACATAGTTTCCGCTTATACCCTTCCAGTATAATTTTGAGACATTGCACATTGCTTAAGATACAAAATTTATTAAAATCCTTTACACAAATAACATTTGACTTTCAAATAATTATACCCAGTAACTACGAAAACATTTTAGTCTTTTTATTCAACTTCGTTATCTGAAACACTGAGTAAACAGTTAAGAAATAACTAGCTAAACATATTTCAGCACGATACTAAGCCGGGGAAAACATCTGCCTAGTATCCTTACAAAAATGCAATTTCAAAACATGCGACGACACTTTCATTTTTAGATCGTAAGAAATTTATACCCATAAGTTAGACAGAGGACTGTCTCTTCTTGCCAAAAATCCATGGGTTTTTTTAACTGAGCTATAACAACTGTAAACCAATCAAATTTACAGCTTTATAACACCTATATATTTTATTGATAGTTGGACATTTCTTCGTAAACAAAAATTTATATTTTAGATTGTAACTCAAAACTTTAATACCAAGGCTTTATATAAACTTAACTATATCAATAATTAATATAAAAGCTATCAACTGGAGTTTTTTTTACATACAATTATTATAATAAGCGCATGAATGAATTCCATTTATTATTATACTAACCTGTACCCGATTGTTCCCCCAGTCGCTGATATAAATATGGTCAAATCGATCAAATCCAATACCTGTTGGAGCATGTAACATACCCGGATCAATTCCGTTCACTCCAAATTTAAATAAAAATAGTCCATTTACATCAAATACTTTAATACAATGATGTACATGATCTGAGACAAATATTTCATCTCGTGAATTGACAGCTATAAATATTGGATTGCCAAAATGATTATCAGCTAGACCGCGTGCACCGAAGCGATTGATAAACTTTCCAGTTGGTTTAAAAATACAAATCATACAAGATTTTTGATCGACTACCACAATACGTCCACGACTGTCTACAACCATACCTTTAGGACCAGAGAGGTAACGTTGGCCAAATCTAGACATGTAGTGTCCACTAGTGTTGTATACCGTCACACAGTGTAAATCATAATCTGAAACCAGATAATTCCCATTGATTGTTTCTGCTACATCAACCGGTCGCATTAACTGACCAGGGTGATATCCATACTCTCCAAAACGAAAGATAAATTGACCTTGAAGTGTAAAAACCTATGTAAAACCAACAGACGGTAATATTGAAAATTATATGATGTATTAAATGAATATTGTAGCAAACAAATGGTCAACATTAAATAATGGTAAATATTTTAAAAATAAGTGGATTAGCAATATTACTAGACTCTTGTATAATAGTCACTCAAACGGTAAAATCAAAACACAAGTAGGAGCGTCCTCTCCATAATTCAGATGACTCATTTAGCACTTGATGAAAAATACCTGCTAGAATCATTGTTTCACTGAAACACAACTGCCCGATTTTTTTTATTTTCCATTCCTTCTCACTTCTTACAAACATACACAATGACTTGAATATAATTTCTATCAACTGAAAACTAGGAAACACCAAAGAGGTGCTTTGTTCTGGTCTGAGAATTTTATGTGTTAAGAACTCATGACCCTGCAAGTGATCAAAAGTAAGACATTCAGGTCTCATAACCTAAACATCGGAGTTAGTTAGTCCATAATTCCACATTTTTGATCATATACACTGACTTTGTGTTGACTGAATTCGGTTATTAATTTATTTTTAGAAAAAGCGACTTACACCAAGCCATAAGAAATGAACTTCTATTCATTGGGATATTTAAAACATTATTTCATTGTCATACACTTTTTAGGTTAATTATAAACTATAATATCTTATAGATGATATTGTGATTAATTGTTCACGTTTTAAAAAAAACCGTCGCTGATATATGCCGTAACAATGAATTCTGAGGATTTGAATTCGATGAGGAGAGGAGGGATAAGGTTGTGGAAGATTTTGGATAGGCTTTGCTGACAACTCTGAACTAGTATGAAATTAACATTCAGGGCTTCATGTCGATTGCCTCAAATAACTTAATATCAATATAAAATTTATGTACTTTTTTTGAAAAAGCATAACTTTGCAAAGAATTTATCCAGATTTAGTGATTAACTTCAAATTACATTGCATAAATAAGAAATTGTCGGTGAAAACGTCTGAAATTGTGATGATGATAGTAATAATAATAATAATAAAAGAAAAAGCCAATTATAAGTATGTCACATTTAGTATTTAGCTAAATTGTAGTTCACCTAGGTGATTAGAGCATTTTCATCAAATTATTTATTGATAAGCATTTCATTAAGTTTTAAAACATGGATGTATAAACTATGTTGTTCTTTGAACTTATATTTGACAGATAAATGTTTTTGTATATTTTGACACTGAACAGGTTATCAGGCAAAAAATTGTTTATAACTAGGCATAAATAACAAACATTAAGATCTCTTTTGAAGATAATTATTACATACACCTTAACAACTCAGCTATTAAATTATATAATAATAAATTTCTTGCATCAAACAATTATGTATAATGTACTTTGAAACATAATTAATATATTACATGTACATGATTCATCTCAAAACCCAGTTAAAGATAGTCTATCATTAGAAAATTACTCAATAGTAAAGTAAACTGACTGTTTGGCTGTAAATATTTGATATGGCACATTAATATGATCATTATTATTTCTTCTAGATTATTCTTCTAGCCATTTATCAGCTACTTTTAGGATTACACTAACCCTACCATTTTTGTTTTCCAATCTAACTAAAAAAAAATATCCATCTATGCACATACAATAATCACGTTTTTTTCACACTTAACTATCATAAGATTGACATAAATTATCATAAAAATCTCACTTATAATTAGTTAAAAAGTAAGATTTAAAGGCATCATAAAAATAACTGTTAGATAAGAAATGATTTATTAACTTGAATAATAACATGTATAGAATATATGTCATTTTCAAATAGTAGAACGTCAGTAACTCGCTAAAAAAAAGACTCTAACCAGAAAAAAACGCTAACCAGTAGTCATTATAATAATAATAATAGTAATGACAGTAATAATAATAGTAACGATAGTAATGATAATGGTAATAATAGCAATAATAATAATGTATCAAGTACTATATCAACTGAATAAATGAAAAATCAATAAAAGTATTCAATTTAGGAATAAATTTTACAAAAAATTCCCATTTTATTATTGAAACAAAAAAGAGTGAAACTGATAGTTAACTTTTTTTAAAAAAAATTATTTTTCTCATTTTGTTCATTCAGATAATAATAAAATAAATGGAAAAAAAAAGAGAGAACAAATACCTATTTTGATGGAGTTTTATTCTCTAAGCTGGATGGTTTGATCGTGTAAAACTTCATCAAAATCATCCATTTGAGTTATAAATCTTCTCCACCATCTCAAAAAAAAAAACTATCTATAAATGATTTTACGATTACTATAGATGATGTTTTATGTTAGAAAAAAAAAGAGAAAGAAGTATGTACATAGATATTACTGTTTTTCCCAGATATATTTTGTCATTAGTTTATTGGTGGAAATATTCCATTCAAATTATTGTAACGAATATTTTTATATTAAAAAAAAATAAATAAAGAAGAATTTGTTCTACTGATTCTCATACTTTATTTTTAATGGCTTGTATTATTTTGTTATTGATAGTTTGATTGGATTTTGATCAGTTTTAGTTGAGATTACCTGTATCCTGTACCGATTGTCTCGATCAAATGTCATAGTCTCAAGTTTATATAGCATTGAATTAGGGGCCCGAAGTGAATATCATTTCTAGGATGCAAGTATATCCATTCGATGAGGATGATATTAGCCATCCTGAATTTCATCGTTAGCTATATTTTATATATTCTACGTGAAAATTCCCATATTTATTTTATTAAGGATAGATAAAATGGAAAGTGTATCAGCTTTATTTACAGAAGTATGTTCATCGCATAATTTTACTTAAAAACCTCAGTATTCACTATCATTAAGATTGATTTTGAGAGCAAACAGAATAATGAATGAAATTCTAGTAGTTATATATTTCTCAATAAAATACCTAAATAGTTTTGTTCATAGTTATGATATGATCATGTGTAACAGTTTATTCAAATTTATTTTTAGTTAGTGAGATGCCTCATAATTATCACTTTTTCCTCTTGTTACTCACTTTTATTGTGTTCCATTACTTTTCGATGCACATACTTGACTTTCTTTTTTGAATGAGCATATTTATTCCCTACTCGTGGACAAGTTATGGTGATTTATATTTTAGAAAACGTTATAGTCTTAAAAATCGTACAGAAGTGCTAATGGATGACTGTTGTACCATAGCGATCCTCCTGCAAATGTGGTAGTGACTGACCGTAATTTCAAAACCTCGTTCACTTGCTAGAAGTGGTTCCCTGAAGTTTTTCTGTTTCCGAGCTCCAATACAGTTACTTCTTCTCCATATTTTAAAAATATCGGTGTCGATTAATTTACAGCATCTCGTTTATTGAAAACCCTAACAATGTGAGTATTGCACAGAAATACTCATCTAGTTTATCGCTTAAATGACTGACAATTCTTCTACTTTGTAGCATAGACTACACATGTATAGCTAATGGTGTATAAACATTTTACACCACTCACGAGGTTCGGTAATGTGACACACAACTAAAGACTGTTAACAAGTGCTATCTTATATAATTGAAATAAATTTAAGGAGATGGTGGAGAAGATTAGTAGCTCAGGTGGATGATTTTGATGGAGTTTTGCACGACCAAACCATCCAGCTCAGAGAACAAAACTCCATCAAAATAAAGTTAAGGTATACAATCATGAGACCTAAGATCATATTCTAGAATGGATTCCTCTACAGATTCTCTGTAATTGATGGATCATCTAAACCCAAGCAACACTAGACACCCAAACTGATTGATGCTGGAAATGATCAAAAGTACGCACTCATAACACAACCGGATATTGTATCCAGAACCTTGAAATTCAAGAACTTTGCCCAGAGATCTGACCCAAGCTTTTTTATGAAAATAGTTATCCAGATTACCAGGAGAAATATTGGAGTCATTTAATTTCAATGGCTGAAGTTTTCTTTACAAATATGATTCTGTGTCTAATATCCTCTATTAATAACCTAAATTTTGTGAAGTTAGTCTTTCGAATTTTTACTGAACTCCATATGAGTAGCAAGTTAATTTCTTTATTCTCCTTAAACTCGTATTAGTTTAAAAGTACATGAAATCATAGTTTAATTGATCTCATCTAATTGTGTCTAACACCAGATTTTTAATTCAACGGCTAAATATACAAACAAACGAAAATAACCCCAGTGGGATCATTAGTATCTAAATTTGTGACATAAATAGTATCTAGAGACTGTAAACTTTAGTCTTCTCGATAATCAAACCGAAGTTTTGAACACGCTATCTATACGATACATTCATTATCATCCAAAGAGACTAAATGGACAAGACTTGCAATCTGATGAAAAACATTTTCAACCATATTAGTTCACATTGAAAACTTAATCAGACAACAAGGTATCATTCACAAATATATTGACGACCAGGACCAACAAAGGAAGACTCGAGGCCTAATCCACACTGATCATATAATACTGACAGTTCTTGTTCATAATATGCGGTATTTTGTTTTGATACTTTGGAAATTTTTACTACACTAGGATCATCTCTAAATAAGTCACATTGTTACCATTATTGCCATTATTATTATCGTTATTATTGTTATTCATTCCAATGGTTTAAAGACAAGGTTAAATGTAAGAAATGTAAATATTTTTTCGTTACTACCATTGGAAAACTCACATGATCGTGTATCAAGATAATTGTAAAATGAATCAAAATGAAGGACAAATATTTACACAATAACCGACTGCATTTAATCCTAAAATCGGCTTAAATACAGAATACAAAAAAAATCACAGCCAATACAAATAAAAGACTTCTAACATAAAATTCATCAGTGTTTTTATAAAGAATTATTTTTTTTAATTAAATAGACTCTAGAGACAGAAAAAGCATAGATCCAATGTTTTTAAAATTAACTGTTAACTATATGAAGATATACAACCTACGACTTATATACTGATTAATAGATTAAACACATCAATGAGGGTTTACATTTTCTAATAGTTGACGTTACAAAATTCAATTGGTCAGTTTCTTTTAGTACAAATACATCTTGAGAGGATCACTTCGACTTTACTATCTAGTCATATTTTTTTCATAAGGTTGTATGATGGTTAGCAGTAGAATCTAATTACCATATTCCCTCTTATACTAGGACTCATCAGCTAGATGCACCTGCATTCTGTTCACAATAGAACTCGATCTCCATACCTTTATCTCTAAACATCAACGTATTATACACTGAGTCATTGGGTTTAAATAATCCAAATGTATAAATTGATACCAAACATGTTATATTCATATAACAGCCATCTGTGGTTAAGTTCATTTGATAACTAAAACGTTTACTAGTTATAGATTAATTTTAGCTTCAAAATAAATTAATTTGATTGTTGAAGATTTTTAATTAACAGTTTTTTTTTTAAGTTGAACAGAAACAAAATGAATCTTGACCAATGTGTTTTATCTCCATGTAAAGTTGATGTACGTAATATTATGAATATTATTATTCAGATATTAGAATGACTGTTAAATGTCTTAAATTCCCTAAAGTGTAACTATAATGTTTAGTAAGAAATAGCAGTTTACAAAATTCGGATGCGATAAGGTAATATTCAGTAAATTTGAATTTATGAATAATTAGTTAACTTATACTATGAACCGTAGAATCGGAACTAAGGGATATGACATAAGAATAAGTTTGTTATAAAAAATTAATGTTTAAAGTTTCTAAATGTTTACTGATCATAAAACAACTTTAACAGGATTATCTATTCAACAAAAATATTTATTGACGTAATTGTGTCATCAGACTGAAATTTAGCACAAAGAACTCCACCATTATATCAATACGTTTAAAATCAATGTTGAACTATACTTATTGTATTATCCTTCAAAGATGAATAAAATGCATTTCTAGTGACTCAATCAAGATAATTATGATTTCCGACAACATTAGTACTAATTTTTATTTAAAACTTAGTTGATAATGGTCACAAAGCCATATGTTTGATAAGTGTTTGTTTCCCATTTTAAAGTAAAATGGTAACCTTTCTTTTCAAGTTTAATTCTAACTCCTTGAACATACAGATAAGATAATTTTTTCAGCGTTACAAATCCCTATGCATGTGATAAAATTTAAATTATGAAATCTTATTTTAGACACTAGGACCTTCTTGAGTTTCTAGGTTTCATTTTATTAACAGAAAGTTAACAATACCTTAATTAGGGAAATATATCAACTAGTTTATTTCAGTATTTTCTTTTATTAAAACATTATTTCTAACACATATTGGTAACTTATTTTTAATGCAAAGCCATTAGATTGTGAATTTATGGCTATAGGGTATAAGTATTTGTGTGTTGTCCCTAGTTAGAATGTAAAATCAATGTGTTGTCACTATCTAACATCTAAAATAATCTTTAATCAACGCCAGTGTTCACATTAAGGAAATTATTGATAAACTATATTTATAAATTAGAGAATTCGATATTTTTCAAGAATACTCTTATAACACAAATATTTGTGAAAACATAATCGAATACAAAAAGCTATATTTTGTAAAATACTTTATGAAAAAACAAACTTTCAGAATATACTTGTACGATAAGTAGTTAAGTGGGCTAACAGTCAACTCAAATGAATACAGTACAATCCGGTATTTAAATTGTTCATTTAGCTTAGAAAGTATTCTTCTCGATTAAAATGCTGAGGTTTTAGAAAGAAAAATGATTACATGATAAACTGACTAATTGATTGACGGAATGAATGAGCGAATCAAAATAGAAGTATTCATTGAAATACAGTACCTTCAAAAGTCGTGCAACTATTGTTTCTAAAACTATTTCTGATTTTACAATAAAACTCGACAATGTAGAGTAAAATGTTTTTCATATTGCCGTTGTATATATATACATGACGACCTGATAAAAATACTAAGATTTAAAATTATGTAAATAGTAATAACAAACATTAATTATGATAATAATGTCTGTTAATGTATTAAAAAGCTTATAAAAATAAATAAAGTTAACTTACTTGAATAAATGCATTGTTACTATCAGCGACAAGTATTTTATTTTCTCTTGTAATACATATTCCAGATGGGTTTGCAAATTCACCATTACCTCTTCCTTTTGTACCAACGGAATATAAAAAGTCACCTCTTTCCATTTTATGTAGATCAGCTAATGCTGTTGGCTGATCAGATAGATTTGAATAAGCAGGTTCAGACTGACAACGTCTTCTAGATTGAATTCTGTGTAGTGTACGACGTGGTAGTTCACTAATCTCTCTCATTGTTTCAGATATTGCTTGTAGACTTGCCTTAGGAGGAGTATCAACACTTATACAATAAGGAGATCCTTTAATGTGTTCACCAAATAATTTAATTCTAAGATCGTACAAACCAGGATGAGAAATTTTATAAACAACTTGTAAATTATTTCCTTGAATGTTATTTCCATTGTGATTGCTATAAAGTGAAAGACTAGAACCGCTGTCTGATATTTGTTTTTCTTGAATTCCAACCTCCATCTCACTGATGTTTTTCTGAGTTAAGAGGACTGAAAATTCCTTACTGGATGCATTCGCTACTGCACGGCCCAACCTGTCATTAGTGATAATATCGACTTTGACTTCTTCGTTCGCTTGGCAGCGTCTGACTGAGACAAAATGATCCAAGTAGTTATCAGATAAGCTCGTATTTTGAGCATCAACTGCAGTTAAGCCGAGAGAGCCAACACACTTAACCATACTCAAAACCTGATCTAAATCAGTGGGAAAGAATGACATAGTATCAGTTTCAGATGGGTGCAAAGGTACAGGGGCAGAAATAAGCTTTTCGATTTCAGCTTTATGTTTTTGAGTAGCAAGATCTCTTGAAACTGTGTTTTGAATAACCTTTTGAGTTTGATAGGAGATTTCATTAGTGGGTTGTGTATGTAAAAGTCTTTTCAAAAGATCGACGTGTGAAGATAGTCTTTGAAGTCGAGTCTCGAATTCCGTATGTAACTTATTTATAGCTTCATTTCTCACACTCAAACAAGAATCAAGTTCATTTAACAGATAGTCGTGTCTTTCACTTACAGACCTTTGTATCATTTGCATGCTCTGTTCGATTTGGCCACGAATTTCTTTTCTAACACACGGAAGATATTCGCTTAAACTTTCCAGTTCTTCACATCTTTCAGCGAGACATTTTATTACATCTTCAGCTAAACGAAGTTTGTCGTTCACTTCATTACAATAATCTGATTGGGGTTTCTCCGCTGTACCATTGATAGAAACAAGAGCTCCAAAGTCTTTATCAGTTGTGGATGATGTAAATACCATATCATCGTGTCGTGGATCATCCATTCTCTAGTATCATTCCTAGAAAGACAATTATGAGTCTGCGACGCTTCCTAACCGTGAATTTGCGTGACACATTTGTGTCTAACTTGTCAATGATCTTTCTACCAATAGGATTGAAGAGAGCTACTTTGGCAAGTCGCTCATCACCGGCGTCGTACAACGAACATAACGTTCACGTCTAATAATAAGACTTAATATGAATATGTTATCATTTCACACAAAAGTATTCTACCTAGTATGATTTTTTGTTTTAGTGTTTGCTTGTATTCGCTCGTTTTATGAACGTCGATGAACTCCCGGAACGTTCGTAGTTTCGCTCCAAGTACGTTTGTAATCTTCCCAACACTACCACTAACAGTGCAACCATAAATCCTCATTTCGACCATGTAATTTAATTCGCACACTGAATTTTCAAGGTATTGATATCCTATAGGAAGCTAAATAAGGCGTGGTATAGTTTATAAAGCTTTTCATGCAGTCGGACCCGTTTTGTTTATGCCCTTCCAAATTGCTGGCTGAAGCATTATACCCGGTTACAAACATAAAACATCAATAAGGTTATATGGGACACTATTAATCCATATAATGAAAAGTTATGATGTTGGAAAACCTTCGGACGTGCAGCTGTCCATAAAGCTTTTTTACACCTGGACAAGGACAACAAACAGTTAGAAACTTATTTAACTTCATATCAGAGCTACAAATTTTTATTTGGAACGCTTTGATGTGGGCTTATGTCGTTTTCAGTTAATTGTTAGAAACACATCCAAGACTTGTCAACTCTCAATAGGTTGTTGTGGTGTCTTTGAATCTCAACAATTTTGTCAACCAATAAAGGTCAGGTCACTAATAGGATAAGCGACTTTAGGTAAGGACTTCGCAATAGCTAGTAGATCAAAAATAAATAGCTGACACCACAGAATGATGTCGATAATCTTTTCAGCAGTTTCCGGTTACTGATACATTCAAAACCTAAGTAGGACAGTAACACTAGTCTGTACTCAGAGTGAAACTGTGTTCTAAGTTTCACAGTTTATCACGTTTCAACAAAGAAATATTATTTCTGAGCGGTTTCAAAATGACAGTTTGTGTTCTAAAACTTGGTTCGTATTCAGCATCTAGTCACCACTAGATACATAGCTTACGTGACTGCCTTTGGTTTTTGTTTTCAATTACCAATCGGGTCTCGGTTAGCAGTTCACCCTAAACTTTTAAAAACTTGCTTATGCTAATTTCTCTGTCGTAAAAGTGGGTATCTTGAGTGCTGTTAAAGGTATGAGGGCGGTTATCACTTCCTGGTTGCCCACACCATGGGTTGTAGGTGGTCTTAAGAGCGTGACCGCAGTACCCAAGAGACAACTGCTTGAGCCCGGTTACACACGACCTTTTTGTGAGTAGTTTTCGTGTTAGCTCTGTACTTGTTGGGACCTTACTGCCATAGACGGAAATCTGTGGAATAAGGAGAGGTGTGCGCTTTTAGAAGATGTGCCTTAGAAGTACATAAACCTTGTGAAGGCCCTTTAGTCGAATACTACTAGTCGAGTCAGAGCTCATGGCGAACTGTCATCTGATTCTGCAACCTCAAGTAATGTTCAGTAAGGCTGTCCACTATCTCCATTTTTGCTTAATGTTATTACAAACCTACTGCTGAAAATAACGTTCTCGTCGACTGAATTTCTGGGTATTGATTTCCTCCCATGAGGTCCACTTATTGACTTAGAATACGCAGATGACACAGTCCTGTTTTTTGAAGACGCTGATAAAATGTAGAGTCTTTTGGTTGCGTTGAGCAACAATGCCAGGATGTTTGGGATGCGTTTCTACTCCTCGAAATGCAAGTTGTTGCTTCAGGATTGGCCTGCGTCAACACCTAAACTGAGGATAGGGAGTGAAGTAGTCGAACGCGTTGACAACATGTATCTTGGAAATCTGATCAGCCCGAATGGGTTGATGTCTGACTAAATCCCAGCACGGATTCAGAAAGCTCGTTTGGCTTTTGCCAATTTCATCACGTATGGCGGAGGCGAGATATCCGTCTAGCAATTATGGTACGAGTATATTGCGCGGCAGTTCGTTCTGTTCTACTTTGCGGCTGCGAAACGTGGCTATTAAGAGTAGAAAATACTCGTAAGTTACTAGTATTTGAAAACAGATGGTATCGGTATTTACACTCTTTGTCTTCCCTTAAACCCTTAGATTAAAATAGCTTTATTTCTACGAACTAATCTTTTCGTCCTTATACACAATCTTTATTTTATGTATTACTACCATCGAAGTAACTACTATGAATCTGGTGTTCGTCTTGTGCTAATGAGGTATGGCAACTTGGACCTTATGCATGTATGTGCCTGGTCCTACGTTGTGGCTGACTAAAAATGTAAGGATATCTCTTTTTACACTGGGGCTAACGCTTTACATCAGTGCAACGATAATTTATGTTACGATTTCACACCAGAGTGCAATTTTGATGCATTATTTCTTAAGCCATATGTTTACAATAGCTACAAACACCAGTTTATTATTTATTTATTTCAACACATAGATATTGGTACAAGGAGGCACCAAATACATATGCGCCACACATCTCATTTGATATGTGTGAGGGCTGTGATACTGCCCGGATGCCCAAACCGAAGCAGGTGGTTTCCTTAGAGGGCCAAACCTGGAGCCTTCGACCTGAAGGTCTGACCCACGAGGCAGTGGAGCAGCGTAAGGAGATGCAGTCCCACCGTAACCAGTGACCAATAATTGGTTCATACGCCATTCGTTCCTTCAGGATACTGGAGCCCATGTGCACCATTGGTTTGGAATCAGGGATTTTCAACTCCCCTAGGTGGACTGTCCATGTCTGCAAACCCGGTGTAAGAGCCAGACATTCTCTTTTCGTCCACTCAATTTCGTAAACAAGTCCCCGCCACGAGAAGGCAGTGAGTAGGAATTTACTGACAGAGACTATATACGCGTGGCCATGTAAGAGCATTTCGAAAGGGAGAGCAGACTCTCCCCACTCTCGACCGTACCAGGGCATTTGGGGGCGAGTAAAAAAAGCAAACTTCTTGCATTTTTCATACACATAGTTCCCTTTATTATCTTAAAGAGAGCAAGAACAAAGATTGGTGCAGAATAATATGAATTCACTTTATTTCGTTAGGTTCTCATCAGCTGCTTAAAACCTAAAATATTTGAAAATCAACGTTATTACAGATATTGACATATTTATACATAAGAGTGTGATTAAGGATCAATACATGTGTATGATGATGTAGCAAAGATTCAGATAGAGTTAATGAGCTCATAAAATGTTTGATTCGAATAAATAAATAAAGTTAGAGAGGGAAAGTTCCAGAACATCGAAATAGTGATTAGAACTCATGAAAATAGATTAATGGTAATAAAGAAAATATGAATTGAAATCAATCATTTATGTATGATGTAATTTAAACTTCAGAAAGGCTTGCAATAATGACTTATGTATAAATATGTCAATATCTGTAATAATTTGAATTTCAAGTAATTTAGGTTGTAAGCAGTTGATGAGAACCTAACGAAATAAAATGAATTCATATTATTCTGCACCAATCTTTGTTCTTGTTCTTGCATTTTTGTTGTTCAATTCAACTAAATTGAATTCATTAAAAATTTGTCATACTTCGCTTGTCGATGGGTTGGTTCGACATAACCTTTATTAACGAGTGTAATCAAAACATTTGTTACACATGCCCTGTTGACATAATTGTAGGTCTCAAAGCGTCAAGGTTAACTGGAATAAAAATCACATCAGTCATTGAATGTCAAACTAAAACTAATTGGAAGATGCAGACTTTCTTTTCGGGGAAACCTGAAGTAGCCTTGACTCAAAACCGGTTTCACTGGCTATCATTTGGACTCCTAGTTTTCATACTTTTAGTTTCCTCTCATTATGTGGATGTATATTGTGTCATCATGAACCGGTACATTTGCACCAGGTTCTACTTTGTTTAGAACCGGTTTCTTTATTATTGAATTGTCAAAGCTTCTTTAAACCGGTCATTTATCTGTTTCTTCTTATTACCACTCCTGTTTTCATGCTTTGTTTACGGAACCACATAAGTTATCTCTCATTGCACCCGATGTCCCAAGTTCTTAGTGGCAATGGTATTTGGTAAAATTCCGACATGCTAGATAGTTTTCAGTATCATAACCGATGTAACAATAATTTGCAAAAGAATGCTTTGAAAATATTTGTATTTGCTTTCTCTAATTGTCTTGTTTCTGTAGTTATAGGATTGGTTCGTCGGTCATGCTACAATAGTACTCGCAGAAATATACTGTTGGATGACAAGACTAAATTGATATGTCAAGGGTTTACGGGGAAACAAGGAACTTTTCATTCTCAGCAAACTCTTGCTTATGGCACGAAACTTGTGGGTGGAGTTTCACCTGGTAAAGGCGGCAGTTCCCACCTTGGATTACCTGTTTTCAACTCCGTGAACGAGGCTAAGGAAGCTACAGGTGCAACAGCCACTGTTATTTATGTGCCGCCACCTCATGCTGCCGCTGCTATCCATGAAGCTATTGATGCACAAATTCCTCTTATTGTCTGTATAACCGAAGGTATCCCACAACATGATATGATACGTGTACGAAAGCGTCTTTCTGAACAGGTAATGTAGTTTCATAATTTCAGTCAAATGTTATATTTTCAAGGACTATTGTAGAATGCATGTTTGTCTATAAAACAATGATAAGGCGTCTATGTCAGTACGCAATTTGAGACAAGGGAGCATCATTGTAAGAGGGAATAGTACAAGAAAATCTCTAAATAGATAGCAAATAAAACTGTCATCATTTATAATTCTGAGACATACAGTATCTAACTAGAAACTCAGAAATAAATTGCTTTTCTTTAGTGTTTTGGACTTATCCTAAAGTTTGTTTCTCATATCTATTAACAACTAAATAGTTATCACCGATATTGTATTGGAAAGTTAGTCATTTTTTCTTGTTTTTATTAATGACTTATATTTCCTCAGAAGTACACCTATTAGTTCCATTTAAGATATTTCTTCCAAAACGT